GTCCTTTACGGTACCTGCTGCTGTGTCTGTTTTCTGGCAATCAGTGATTTGTTCTTTACCCTTATGTTGTCATTTCACGAATGACACATAAATGGAATCACACAGCATTGAACTGACTTTGAAACTGTCCAAATCTCTCCCATTAAAAAATAAAGTCAGCCTCACACACTCTCCAGCTAGCTCTCTTTCTCCTCGCCTGTATAATCAGACATACTGTTTGTAGTCGTTGTTTCTGCACACCTAACAGCTTTGCTAGTTTTCACCCTACATTTCTGGGTATTCTTTCTGTTTCCACTGTAGACTCATCCTTTACTTGGTCATTAAAAGTTGTAGCTCCTCAAATTTCAGCCCTACACCCTCTTCACCTGACATTTTTTCCCTTCGGGATCTCATCCATACCCAAGACTCCAGCACACAAATGATTCTCAAACACATATATGAGCAGACCTGAGCCATGAAGCCATGTTTGTATAGTTAACTGCCTTTCGTACAAATCCATTAGGATGTCTTAGAGACACCCAAAACCTAGCATGTCCAAAATTCAACTCAGCACATTGCACCCATCCCCAAACCTTCAAATGACCATGAGACCCTTTGTTATCTTTGACATCTCCCTTTCTTTCACTATCTCATATTCAATTCAAGTCCATGAAATTTACCTTTTAGGTCTACTTCCCAACCATCTTCCTCTACCACCCTGGTGCAACCTACCTTCTGGACCACTGCCATCACCCTAATCTAATCTAATCTGTTCTTTTCACTATGGAAAGAATAACATATTTTAAATGCGTATTTTGAAATAATCTCATCTTTCCAATTATTCTCTCACCTTTTAAAAATGCATCAATTTCCTTCCATTGCTCCTAGGAGAAAAAAAATTCCTAACATGGCATACTGACCCCTAATTACTTCCTCCAACTCATTTTGAACTATGCTCTTACTCCTAACAACGCCTGGCCTTCTTTCATTTCCTCAGAATACAACCTTACACCCAGAAGACACTTCTTTGATCCCTTCTTCACAGATTTAACTCTTCTTGTCCCTTACATCTCAGTTCAATCATCATCTCCACTGAGAAGTCTTCCCCAACGCCCAGGAGAAATTCATATTCTACTATTACACACTTTCATTCTAAAACATCATTGATACACAATCTTACATTGGTTTCAAGTACCCAGCACAGTGGTTCAACAGTTACCCATATTATTAAATCCTCACCCCCACTGGTGTAGTTACTACCTTTCAATATAGAAAGATGTTACAGAATCACTGACTGTATTCTCCATGTTGTACAATTATCCCCATGACAAATTTTCATTATGATTGAGAATTTTTGTCCCCATTTATCCCCCTCACCCTCCCCACCCAGCCACCCCAACCCCTCCCCCATGGGAACCAACAGTCACTTCTCAATGTCTATGAGTCTTCTTTTATTTTCTTCATTTTATTCGGTTTCATTTTTATATTCCACGCATAAGTGAAATCATATGGTATTTGTCCTTTCCTGCCTGGCTTATTTCACTGAGCATAATACCGTCTAGTTCCATCCATATTGTTGCAAATGGCAGGATCTCCTTTCTTCATGGCTGAATAATATTCCAGTGTGTATATGTACCACATTCTTCTTTATCCATTCTTCTATTCATGCACACTTAGGTTGCTTCCATAACTTAAGTATTGAAAATAATGTGACTATAAACATAGGGGTGCGTATATCTTTTTGAATTAGGGATTTTGTGGGGGTTTCGGGTAAATTTCTAGAAGTGGAATTGCTAGATCACATGGAATTTCTATTTTTAGTGTTTTGAGGAACCTCCATAGTTCGACAGCAGCCGCACCAATTTACATTCCCGCCAACAGTGTAGGAGGGTTCCTGTTTCTCCACATCCTCGCCAGCACTTGTTATTTTTTTGTCCTTTGGATAGTGACCATTCTAACTGGTGTAAGGTGATACCTCATTGTGGTTTTGATTTACATTTCCCTGAACACTAACAATGTGGAGCATCTTTTCATGTGCTTGTTGGCCATCTGCATTTCTTCTTTGGAGAATTGTCTGTTCAGATCCTCTGCCCATTTTTAATTGGGTTCTTTTTTGGGATGGAGGCATATGAGTTCTTTATATATTTTGGATGTTAACGCCCTATAGGATAAATCATTTACAAATATATAGTACCTTTTTTCATGAGTTACCAAACTTGCAATTTCACCTTTAGTTATGAGATTAATATCTGAATCCCCTAAAAAATAATAATTCACGAAAACCACGTGAAGGAAGGAACCATGTCTCTGTGAGTTTGCTATTGCATCCCCAGAGCCTAGCACGCATGAGGAGGCCAATTAAACTCAGCACATTGCACCCATCCCCAAACCTTCAAATGACCATGAGACCCTTTGTTATCTTTGACATCTCCCTTTCTTTCACTATCTCATATTCAATTCAAGTCCATGAAATTTACCTTTTAGGTCTACTTCCCAACCATCTTCCTCTACCAACCCTGGTGCAACCTACCTTCTGGACCACTGCCATCACCCTAATCTAATCTAATCTGTTCTTTTCACTATGGAAAGAATAACATATTTTAAATGCGTATTTTGAAATAATCTCATCTTTCCAATTATTCTCTCACCTTTTAAAAATGCATCAATTTCCTTCCATTGCTCCTAGGAGAAAAAAAATTCCTAACATGGCATACTGACCCCTAATTACTTCCTCCAACTCATTTTGAACTATGCTCTTACTCCTAACAACGCCTGGCCTTCTTTCATTTCCTCAGAATACAACCTTACACCCAGAAGACACTTCTTTGATCCCTTCTTCACAGATTTAACTCTTCTTGTCCCTTACATCTCAGTTCAATCATCATCTCCACTGAGAAGTCTTCCCCAACGCCCAGGAGAAATTCATATTCTACTATTACACACTTTCATTCTAAAACATCATTGATACACAATCTTACATTGGTTTCAAGTACCCAGCACAGTGGTTCAACAGTTACCCATATTATTAAATCCTCACCCCCACTGGTGTAGTTACTACCTTTCAATATAGAAAGATGTTACAGAATCACTGACTGTATTCTCCATGTTGTACAATTATCCCCATGACAAATTTTCATTATGATTGAGAATTTTTGTCCCCATTTATCCCCCTCACCCTCCCCACCCAGCCACCCCAACCCCTCCCCCATGGGAACCAACAGTCACTTCTCAATGTCTATGAGTCTTCTTTTATTTTCTTCATTTTATTCGGTTTCATTTTTATATTCCACGCATAAGTGAAATCATATGGTATTTGTCCTTTCCTGCCTGGCTTATTTCACTGAGCATAATACCGTCTAGTTCCATCCATATTGTTGCAAATGGCAGGATCTCCTTTCTTCATGGCTGAATAATATTCCAGTGTGTATATGTACCACATTCTTCTTTATCCATTCTTCTATTCATGCACACTTAGGTTGCTTCCATAACTTAAGTATTGAAAATAATGTGACTATAAACATAGGGGTGCGTATATCTTTTTGAATTAGGGATTTTGTGGGGGTTTCGGGTAAATTTCTAGAAGTGGAATTGCTAGATCACATGGAATTTCTATTTTTAGTGTTTTGAGGAACCTCCATAGTTCGACAGCAGCCGCACCAATTTACATTCCCGCCAACAGTGTAGGAGGGTTCCTGTTTCTCCACATCCTCGCCAGCACTTGTTATTTTTTTGTCCTTTGGATAGTGACCATTCTAACTGGTGTAAGGTGATACCTCATTGTGGTTTTGATTTACATTTCCCTGAACACTAACAATGTGGAGCATCTTTTCATGTGCTTGTTGGCCATCTGCATTTCTTCTTTGGAGAATTGTCTGTTCAGATCCTCTGCCCATTTTTAATTGGGTTCTTTTTTGGGATGGAGGCATATGAGTTCTTTATATATTTTGGATGTTAACGCCCTATAGGATAAATCATTTACAAATATATAGTACCTTTTTTCATGAGTTACAAAACTTGCAATTTCACCTTTAGTTATGAGATTAATATCTGAATCCCCTAAAAAATAATAATTCACGAAAACCACGTGAAGGAAGGAACCATGTCTCTGTGAGTTTGCTATTGCATCCCCAGAGCCTAGCACGCATGAGGAGGCCAATTAATATTTGTTGCAAGAATAAATGAATACTGCAATCAATGGCCCACAAACAGTGATTCTTACAAAACCTTTTTTATGAACCTGGGATTTAGACATGCCACCATTCTTAGAAAATCTTTAGAATAGCTTCATGTTTACTTGAGAACTACCCTGTACCCAAATACTACACTGACATTTTAAAAATGAAATATCCTACAGACAGTATTCCAATATGGTTAAGTAGCAGTCTAAAGGGTTTTTTTGCATTGCAATTGACATTTCCCCATGGAAACCAGTTGCAAAGAGCGATTAAGTTCAGATCCAACCTACAAAATCTTATCTATTCCTGCAAGAAGTCAGTATTTCACCACTAGGAGCTTTAAGACCGACTTGAATTAGTTTAGAGCACCTCTTAGTCCCAGGCACCCTCAGCTGCAAAGCCTGAGTCCTCCTGACTCATTTAGCCCTGAACCCCCGGTGTCTTCCTTGGTCCTAAAGCTTCCTGAGCCTCATGCAAAGCAGTAGGTAATGTACTGACAGAAGGAAAGGTCCAAAAGCATGATCTGCTGGGAACCAAGGAGAAAATTAGGGGAATCTACATTAAAGTAGATGCCCCATTGAGGTGGGTGGGTGAAGTGGACAGGGGTGGAAAGAGAGGGCTCTGGCAGATACAATATCCAGGGCAAGCAGGCATGGAAAGGCAAGCTCAATGCCCAAATAACTGGGTGAATTATGAATCAGGAGTACCCCAAAACTGTTTTAATATCATGAACTCCACCCCATCTCCCATCAAAAGATTTCAGTTCTTGTACATTTTCACAAGAAGTGAAGACAAACTACCAATAATATCAATCCTAAATTCTGTGGAAAAAAATTTAAACCATACCTTTGTTCCATTGCTGGTCAGAAGGGGCCAAGCAGCACAAAAACAGCTCCTTAGAGAAAGTAGAAACAGAATAAGATGGAAATCTTCTTTTAAACGGTGTTTAGAACTTCTAGAATGCCTGCAGCCTGGAAATTTCAATTTGCTTAGTAACAAATTTGATTTGATTTCTTTGAAGCCAGAAAACCTTTTGAAATGTAATTATGATAGCACAGCATATGAGAACTCAACAGGCAACTCAGACTTCTGGTAGCATAAACACTCGGCCAGCTAATATGAGCTTCAGTTTTTTTCCTATATCTGCCAACCTATCACCCTCTCAGCTCCACCCATTAGAGCCTAGCAAGTGGACGTGAGCTTCAGATAAACTCCTAACTCCCTGCCAAAACTGGCATAGGAAGTGTGTGTGTGTATGTGAGAGTGTGTGTGTGTGTGTATATACAGGCACTTGAATAGGATGAAAGAGGAACATTAAGGAGAATTGATACAACCCAGCCTCTGCTCTCTTCTGAAAGTGAGTCAGCCGGTCACATACATGCATGAACACTATTTTTTAATGCTTAATAGAAAAGAAAGGATACATGTACAGTCTTCCCCCACTGGGGTGTAGAGTTTAATTCTGGCCCCAGTTCACCCCTGATTTCTGCTCTCCTCTGACTGTGTTTCTGTCTTCCTAGCCCCTAGAGCCCAGACCAGTGTCAGTTCAGAGTCCAAACCTGGATGTCCTGAGAAGTCTATAATTCTCTTCTTGGTTTATTCTAAACGTCACGATTTGTACTTTAGAAAAAAGAGTGTGATGTTAAGTTCTCCAAACACTTTGTGTTATTCTTGTCTCTCTATAAGAGTGTAAGCTTCTGGAGTATAGGGAATGTGACTTAGGACTTCGTTATGTAGGTGGTCCTCCAACGCTTGACCAAAGTAAAGCCATTTTGATTACAGTAGTCATTTTAGAATAAGCTGCAGGGCTGCATTCCAAGGGAAAATGAGGGGACTATTCCCTTTACTTTGTTATGCTGGTGTGGAACCTAGGACAGCAAGAATGTTTACTGAGTGTGTTGAATCTCAAGATAAGAGGAAGGAACTCTACGCTTACCTGCCTGCTTGCATGTAGCACCCTTTCCTGTTTCCTGATAAAAATCAGCCTAACAGGCTGGGGAATGGTGACTGATAGAGCAGCCACCCGAATGCCATCCACCACTCTGTAAGTGACCCCCAAAACAGTTCATTTACTCACCAAGCTGGACTTGTCCATGTTCTTTGGCCTGTCAGTTCCCTCACAATTTGAGGGAAGGCATTTCTTTTATGTCTCTCTGGGAAATTCTCATAACAGACTTGTATTACCCATGAGTCTTACTATGGTGTGTAGGAAATAACTCAATGGCAAACCCCTAGTAAAGTAGCAAGAGGACATTTTAACCTGCTCTAGTTGAAGAAATGTCTGTTAATAGGATAAAGAAAAAAGGACTTCTACACAAGGCAATTCTTCTAGATAATACCTGGCCCCCAAAGTATTTGTATCCTTCCCAAATCAAGAAGGTCTCCCAAATTCTTCCTTCCCTGGCTCTAAGAACACATCACGTATTTTTAATGTTGCACTATAACTTATAGTAATCTTGAATATACAGTTTATGATTTTTTACATAGGTATACACCTATGTAACTACTTCCCACATTAAGGCATTGAACATTTTCATTACTCTAGCAAACTCCTTCCAAGTCAATACCCTCTCAAACAACCATTCTTCTAACCCCTACCACCATAGCTTAGTTATGCTTCTCGTGAATTTTATATAGATGGAATCATACAGTTTATTTCTGGACTCTTTCTCCCACCATTATGACTGGGGGAGTTATCAATATTGTTATACACAGCATAAGTGGTGTTTTTCTCTTCACTGCTGTATAGTGTTCCATTGTGAAATATACTATGTTATTTATCCTATTGTTAGATATTTGGGTTATTCCTTGTTTTTGGCTATTATGATTAAACATGCTATTAACATTCATGTGTGTAACTCGTGGTGGACACAATCCCTCATTTGTGCTGGAAATATACCCAGGAGTAGCATTTCTGGGTCAAATGTTCTATAATAAGTAAACTTTGTGAGGTACTGCCAACCAAATTTCCTAAGAGATTGTACAATTTATGGTCCCAGTAAAAAATGTAAGAGTTCCTGTTGCAATATCACAGACTTTTTCACCAGACACTTGCAGTGTTTTCATTGTGCAATTAGTCACCTGGACACTGCCAGTTACACACTAAGCAACTGTGAGTTCTGTTACCAGTTTTTTCAACCCTATTAATGCAAGCATACGGACAGCCCAGGAGAACTGGCACCCAAAGGTATAGTATGAGGACCAGCTGTACCACAAAAGTGGCTCTAAATCAGGTTAAAAAAGAACACACAGTAGGGTCTGTTATTTACTCCTGATTAATGGTGATTCAAGTATCTGAGAGGAACAATTGTTCATAGTAGAACAGCATGTCTAGAGTCCATACTTTATTGCTGGAGGTTGTATGTTTACTACCTGTTTAATAAATTCCACATAAACCTCACTTAGGGAAAGGAAAGAGGAAACCACCAGCGGAAATTGAACACTGACATACACAATTGCTGAAGGAACCCACACCAACTGCCAATACTGAGAAATGTAGACCTATGTGTAGAAATAAGAAAAACCAGGAAGATATAGAGGAATCACTAGACATGGAGGTAAAATTAGATATCAGAGATAACAAGTTAAGCAATCAGAGCAAAGATCTCGTCAAGATAGATTTAGTAAAGGAAACCAGAGATATTTAAAAAAAAATTTTCATTGTTTTAAGGTATAAAAATTGTCATTTTAATAGCAGTAACCTGAATATCCAAAGGAGAAAATAGATTTGGTGATACCATTTAAACTTGTTTAAGTATTGACAGAAAAATAAAGAAAACTTTAGAATTCTAGTGAAGGGAGTTCTGGAGTGAGAACAGGTTTGAAACTGGAAGGTAAGAAGAGAAGGCAATCACTAATTCAAAACGATGTATGCACCCCAAGTTTATTGCAGCATTATTTACAATGGCCAGGATATGGAAGCAACCTGTGTCAATTACTAGATGAATAGATAAAAAAGATGTGATACATATATACAATATACACAGCCATAAAAAAAAATGAAATCTTGCCATTTGCAAAAACATGGATGGACCTAGAGGGAATTATGCTAAGTGAAATAAGTCAAACAGATACCTATGATTCACTTATATGTGGAATCTAAGAAAATAACTAACAAACAAAATAGACATAGACTCATAAATACAGAGAACAAACTGGTGGTTGTCATAGGGGAGAGGGATGGGGAATGGGCAAAATAGGGGAAGGAGATAAAGAGATACCAACTTCTGATTATAAAATAAATAATTCACAGGCATGAAAAGTACAGAATAGGGAAAACAGTCAATAATACTGTAGTATCTTTGTACAGTGATGAATAGTAACTACACTAATCCTAGTGAACACTTTATAATGTCATAATTGTCAAATAAGTATATTGTACATCTGAAACCAATATAATATTGTGTATCAACTATAATTTAAAAAATCACAAGTCCATCAACACAAAAAAAAGAAAAGAAGAAGAAAAAGAAAGAGAGAGGCAGACCTACCAACAGGACAGGGAGAGGGGCCCTGCTAGGAAAGATGGTACCTGAGAAATCCCTGGTGACAGGGTTACTGAAGGACTTTTCAGAGCAATGTTCACTTTCTGGAGGGCTGTATCAACCCTTCCTAACACTTCAGCAAAGAGTACCCTACCCAAGGTGAATAGCATTTGAGAAACACAGCAAAAGAGATACATTCCATGTCTGGGGCAGGATGGGCTATACAAATGAATGAGATCAGATTACCTCAAAGAAAACTGGCCAAGACAGGACCACTAAATTAAAAATTTTTTTAATTAAAAAGAATTATAGGAGATTAAAGATGGCAGCGTGAGAGATGAGACAGAGACCTCCTTCTAAAACCACACATAATATGAAAATATAATTAATACAACTAGTCCTGAAAAAGCAACAGGAAAGAAGGCTGCAACAGACTGCACACACCTGGAGAAAGGAAAAGACGTCACAGAACAGGGTAACATAGAAAAGCCGTGACCTGGTGGGACCCAAGCCCCTCCCCCACCCCAGCTCATTAGCGGGAGGAAGAAAAACGGAGCAGGGAGGGAGTGGAGGCCTGGGACTGCTGAACACCCAGCCCTGGAGATCTGCTCTGGGAGCACAAACCTACATTGCATGGTGCTCTGGTGATTAGCGGGGTTGGAAAGCTAAGGCTCTCTGCTGCTATACAATATTTGGGAAACTTCTTGTATTTTAAAAGTTACACAAGATGATCCAGCAATTCCACCTATAGATATACATCCAAAAGAATTTAAAGCAAAGACTAAAACAGATATTTGTACATCAATAATCAGAGCAGCATTAGTCAGAATAGCCAAAAGGTGGAAACAACACAAGTGACCATTAATAGATAAGGAGAGAAACAAAATGTGGTGTGTGTGTGTGTGTGTGTGTGTGTGTGTGTGTGTGTATGGATGTATCTCCAATGGAATATTACTTGGCCATTAAAAAGGAATTAAATTCTGATACATGCTACAACATAGATGTACTAGAAAATACTATGCTAAATGACTTAAGCCAAACACAAAAGGACACATATTGTACAATTCCACTTAGATGAGATACTAGAATAGTCAAATTGAGACAGAATGTAAAATACAGTTACCAGAGGGTGGAAGAAGAAGTAACAGGGACCTATTGCTTCAACAGGCACAGAGTTTCTATTTGCGGTGATGAAAAAGTTCTGGAAAAGATGGTGGTGATGGTTACACAACCTTGTAAGTGTACTTAATGCCACTGGTTGCACACTTAAAAGTGGTTAAGATGGTAACCCATTTTAGGATATATATATTCTTCTAAATATACCAATTTAATGACAGAAACTGGCAGAAAGAATTTAAAAAATGTGATCCAATAATATGCTGTCTATAAGAATTTCATTTCAGATATGACACGAGTAAGTTGAAAATAAAAGGACAGAAAAGATACACCACGCATACATTAAACAAAATAGCAGGATTTGACTATATCTAAATGTAATCAGTAATCATTAATTTCGAGTCATTCCTTTAAAATTTTAACTTTTGGA